ACATCCCTTTTGCCTTGGACCGTACCTGAGCGATGCATGGATAAAGCTGGATCCATAATTCCTCTTTCTCTTTTCTCTCTTGCGCGTACCATCCGTAATTAATGAACACCGTGTAGAATAGGGAGAATTATTGCACGCTTACGGGCGCAGGGTTCTTCTTTTATGGAAAGACCGAGATCGAAATCGTGCCCACGGATACAAGCAAATTTATGTTCGTTCTCGTAATACGGGAAAAGGAATGAATTATCGAAGTCGCGTGATTGGCTACCGTGATAATTGAATAGCACGTTATTTATCAATACCAAAATTTACAAGTATCACGGTGTATGTGGTCTAATCATTTAAATAAATCGAGCTTAGTGCCAAAGCTATACGAGTGAAATAAAATATTATAGATTATTTTAACGAAAAATAATACCAATTTTAAATTGTTCAAGTTTAACTATAGATCTGTTACCAAAAATAGATCTGTTTCTTTAATGTTTTATATATATATATATATATATATATATATATATATCACAAAAAATACAAATAGAATTAGAGTATTTTAAATTTAGGCAAATAGAATAGTTGTCTCTTTATACTTATACGAGTAAATGTATCACTCTTACATAAATAGTTGTATCTTTTATTTTTATATGAATAGTTATATTTTACATGAATACTTATATCTCTACACAAATAATTAAATCTTTCTCTTCTTTCATTCTTTATCCTTTTGAAATTAATAAGTGAGGGTATTATAATTGAATAAGAATCAGCCCATTTAATTTTAGATAAATAAGTACTTGAACAATTATATTTTTCTTTGAAAAAAATATTATTTTGGAATTAGTAATATAAAACTATTATAATTAGTAAGTAATAATATTATAATAAGAGTACTTAATTTTAATGAATAAAGATAAAATTATATGCATCTAAATTTAACATCTAAATTTTTATCTTCCATTCCATTCTTATGTTAGAAGTCAGTATAGACCAATAGATAATAGTAAAAATAGTAAATAGTAAACGTATTACGTTAATTTTACAAAAAGGGGGAAAAAGAAAAATATATAAAATTAGTTATTAGCTTGCTTTCTCACAGTTATCAATCATAACCAAATTATGTTAACTTGTTAAGCAACATGAAAATCATTTAATATTTTCTCCTTTCTTAGCTATTTCGGATAGGGAAGTATTCTATATGAATCTATTTTTCTTTTAATCAAACACAAAAAAAACTCAACTAAGTTTTGTTATCCCTAATACTACCTGATTGTCGGTACGAACTTCTCATACAAAAAACATGATACATCTTATCAGTATGGCGATAAAACGAGTTAAAAGAAGGGAGACGAATAAACTATTATCTCTCATGTATTTTAATTATACTTTCTTGAGATTGTTTGATCATTTTCTGCAGTTAATACATCTCACAAATTAAATATAAAAAACAATATAAAATAATGAAACATCGATACAAAGAACTCTATTTCATAAGCGCTTTGTGTTTGGACAAGTGAATTATAATAAATCATTAAATAGTGTCATACTAGAATTAAATATAGAATCTCAAACTATTTAAATCTATTCATTTTAGGGCAACAAATCTATGAAAATATATCTGCAATACTTTAATGATAAATACATAAAAATAATCTAGCATAAGTTTCACAGATTTGTTCCTCCAATATAAAAAAATCACTCACCAAACCGATGCGCAACAGCGGAGTTAATCTGCAATGAAGCTATAATGATTCTGTAACACACAAATAGATACAAATTATTGCAGCTCTAAATGATAGATATTGTAATAATTTTTACACATATCGAATCTATTTGTTTTTAAATTAGATATTTATTAAAATAATTATATAATTTTCAGAAAAAAACTTTATAGAAATAAATTTATATCAAATTTTAAATTGTGTTTATTTTTCAAACTATAAATTTTAAATTATCGAAATTCATCCAAATAAATAAGACAAATAATTTTATGTTGATAAAAAATTATTTACCGTAAGATTGCTCCGCCGGTGTCCGATGCCTCTCCTATGCCTCCTCCTTCTCTTAAGATGTCGGATCGTCGGATGGCCCCGCAACACAGGACACTCGCGAAAAACATTCGCGAATTATTATAATCGCGCGCGACTAATTTTTGCTGCTCATGAAAATATCAAGTTCGTCGGTCCAATCAACACTCGAGTGGGCGTGCTTTTCGGGACACACAGTCGGTTGCGAACTATTATATTTGTCGAACGAGTCCTCGCAGGACGAGGAACAGTCCTTTAGTCCGATCACTTACGGCACTCTCGAAGCAAACGCGCGACGCGACGAACTGGCTGCAGTTCGTTCATTCATAATAAAATCGACGGCGGAATGTCGGTTCAAAACCGACGATTAATGCGTGAAACGCATTAATCAACTTTGTCACATAAGAGCCATTTCATGACTCGTGGCTATGCTGTGTTAGTTACATTATTAATAACAGTAACGTTACCTTACCTTACGTTAATGTTAATGTTATTAATAACAGTACAACGGGCTTCTTCGTCTTTGGGAAGTCCGTTGAGGAAACCAACGAAATCCCTCGGAATAGCTCCTCTGCCACGTCAAGGCCCCGTCATATCCTTTAGAGGAGTTAATGTTTAAAAGTCGTCAATTTCAAAGAAATAAGACGCGTGAATCTTGTTATAGAGTCGTCGTTTCGAATACGTTTACGAATTGTTAATCATGTTTAATAAACATTTATTATTAGAGAAGACACTATTTCATAAGAAATAATAGTGTTTAGTATCATGTAGCATTAAAGAAATGCGAAAAAAGACGGAGCGACGCGCACTGCGCATGTACGAATGCCGATTAGCGAATGATAGAACGTGAACCTCTCGTAAACATTACACACAATGGCGCGCGCTACGCGGCGCGTAAACATTTCTCAAGGCTGTGCCACCAACATCTGACTATGACAAATATTCAGCAATATTATAAATAATATTTAACTTCCACGATACACTATAGCATCTATTAATAACTAAACATTAAATAATGTATGTATGTATTTCTTTAGAGAATTTAGATACGCTTGTGAATAATTAATCTACAGTTCGTTCACTTACACTTAAATCGGTGATGGAATATCAATTAAAAGTCGACGATTAATGTGTGCAATGCATTTACCACAGAAGTCATTGGACGATTTGCGGTTATGCTATGTTAATATATTATTAATAATATTAATATTATCTAATATTAATATTATTAAGAACGATACAATGGGTACTGTTGACTCCTTCGTCTTTGAGATATGAAACTTCTCGGAATACTCAACCCCTCCGCCATCAAGGCCATACCCATCGGACGGATTATCGTTAACAAAAGTTATAAATTTCGAAGGAATAAGTCGCGCTATATATGTATATACTTTATTAGTCATTGTTTCTTTTATGTTTAATCAATTCTTAATTTATTTAATAATAATAAAGCATTTATTGTCTTATTCGTATAATGCAGCAACATTTGATATCATTTAGCAGTGAAAAAATGCGAAGGAATGCGGAGCGCTCTCTCGTACGAACGCCAGTCAAGAAATGGTAGCACGTGGAACGTGGCTTGTAAACACGGTACGTACAACACACACACACGCGCGCGTGCGCGCGCGCACACACCCACCACCACACACACACACACTACACACACACACACACTACACTACACACACACTACACACACACACACACACACACACACACACACACACACACACACACACACACACACACACACACACACACACACACACACACACACACACACACACACACACACACACACACACACACACACACACACCACACACACAAAATATAGCAAACAATCGTCAAGCTACACAGCAACAATGTGTGCAAGACGAAATATTCAATAATATACGAACAATTTGACACGATTTTTATATTTCAAAATTTAATTAATATGCTGTGAATTGATTAAGAGTTATTTTTATATTACATTCCATTCATAAAAAGGCCGTGTAAGATGTTTTTTAAAAATATTCTTGTAATATTTATGACGTAGCTTATCATTTGAACATTAAAGTTTGTTTCGGTCTTTATCGATAATTTTATTCAAAGCTTCAAGTACTTATATACAATACTTATTATTTAATTATGATATCCAGAGAAAGTATGCTGTTGTTTTTTAAAAAAGTATATATTTGATAACACATTGATAATTACATAATTTTTTTTAAAGCAGCTCCGTATTTTTTTCATACTAATTGATTTGTTTCATTATTCTATGTGTAAAAATATTAAGGTACAGTTATCAAAAAATCAATAATTTATAAAATGTTTTATATTTCAGAATATGCGAGAATAAAATAGAATATCTTGTAAACTATTGATTTTTTAATATTGTATTTGGTATTTTTTTATCCAGAATAACAAGAGGAATCATATTACGTAATAAAAAATATATGATATGTAATAATATGATTATTTAAAAAAATAGCGATCATAAAAAAATCTCAGTGACAATGAATCCATATCGTAATCATGTGTCTCTCTCGAAATCCTACAATTTTTGTATGAAACGTTTTTCTCTAAAGTTGAAAATAAATAAAACTTAAGTTGGTAGATTAAAAAGGGGACACTTCATGAGTTTAGTAAAATTTTTTACTATAGCCGAATTTTCTAAACAGAAATTGAAGATTTCTAAATTTATAAAATTTCTAAAAAAAGCTTATGAAAAGATTAATATATAGAAAAAATACAATATATAGAAAAAAAATCTAATAGATGAAACAAGTTTAAGATCTCGCGATGTTCTCTGGGATGAAATCTTTTCTGAAATTTAGGTAATACAGTTTTTCCACACATCATCCGATGATAAATTGAAATTTCGCGCATTGGTAGATGTCGCCTGTGCATTTCTATGCTACGCGGGCCGAGAGGTCACTTGTCGCGGCGCAGTTTCCCGCGCGCGCCACGTCAGCTGATCGGCGCTTCTGGGCAGTTGCGAGATGTCAATTGCCGCACGCAGGTGGTGCTCCATTCGTAATGGCGTATGACGGCTGAGGAGCCACGGGTGCGAAACGCGCACGGGTGCACGAGAGTTTTCGCGTATCCGCGACACAACGGGGTGGTGATTAAGTGCCGCGGCGTGTTGCACGTGTCTCGGACGTACGCGGTAAGATGAGCACGTCGACTGGCGTGCTGCCGTCGTACCAGCGCCTCGCGAACGGCGTACCGGTGCCGTTGTTCTCGAGACGGTCCTTCCGTCCGCGCGAGAAGTACCTGATCCTCCTGGTATTCATGACGTTCGGCGTCGTCTGTTTCGGCGCGTTTTTTTACCTGCCGGACTTCCGTACCGGCGGCGCCGCCGTGAACAGTGTCTACCGCGTGTACCAGAGTATGCAGAAGGCCGGACCGGAGTTGCTCCTGCCGGTGCCACCGCGCGCCTCTGGCGACGTCAAGGACTCGCGCTTGTCCGCGATCGGCCATCCGAACGCCGTGCCGCCCGGCCACGAGGGCAGCGATCATCAGGACGTGCACCTCGTCGAGGACAAGCAGAAGCTGCAGGTGCGCTCGAATTTACGCTCGTCTAAATTCGATCTCTCGAACGCCTCGCGCAAAACTCCCCTCGTCTCAAAACGTGCGTCAGTTTTTGCCCTTCGTCGAACATCGTTTCTCTTTCGCGATTTTCACGCGAATTCTTTCTGGAAAACGATACTGCCGCGGTAGAAAACACGCTCTCTCAACGGAGCCTGACATGGACATGCTCCGTTTGCGCGAGGTTGTGCTTCGTTTGTTTACATACGGCCATTGTAACGTACACGGCTGACGCACGTGCGCGGACTCGCTGTCACTTCGTTCACGATTTCGTCTGAATGAACGATAACGATCTTCCAGTTAACCAGGACCAACTCGTTTTAAGATAATTCAACTGGACGCCATACAAATTCACGGATATATTTGATGTTAATATTAATTAATAAAATTAATATCGAATAATAATTTATTAAAATGATGACTTTGCGATTTTGCGTCTCGTGCTTATTCACGATCGCAGGTTTCATTTAAACTGTTTAGTTTTTTCCTTCTCTAGGAATGTATTGTGGGATTGGAATGTTGTAGGCGCGTCTGTGACATTTATCGGAGAGAATGTTTCGAATTATCTTGTCTTATTTGATAAACGCTTAAACTTGATTCTCTTTACATCGCTTTCTACAATTTTACATCTGTCGACCAAATGCAATCGCATTTTAAAGCAGATCTCGCATAATTGATTCCATCTTTGGAATTTTTCGGGGTCGATCTGATTTCACACGATAAGTGGAAACGATATCGTATATCCTTGATACCTTGGTACACGCTCCGGTGTCGTGAAACTCCCGTTTCATGCGTACTCTTTTTCTTTCATTCAACACGAGTAGGTCGCGCAAGGTCGCGCCGTGATCTTGCCCTTGTAAGGCAATGCGTTTCCGAAATAACTGGAGAGAATGAGAGCGCAAATCGCGATTAATCAAAATAATTCTGGAAATCAGATTTGATATTAAAAATGTAATAGCAATTGAATATTAAATTCTAACGAGATAGTAATTATTTTAAAGCAAAAAAAGACGAGATTAATTATTAAAATAATTTTTTAATAAAATATACATTAAATCTTATATATATTATATAATATGTACATACACACACACACACACACACACACACACACACACACACACACACACACACACACTATACTTACTA